CAGGAGAGTTCTGCTGTGCCATACGTGGGTTAGCCGCCTGACCAGGGATCAAACTCAGGCCATCCTGGTGGTAGTGCTGAGACTTAACCCCTAGGTCACCAGGGAGCCCCCTACTTATATTTTCCTTAACTATATAAAAGTTTTTTAACTTGAGGTAATCCCAAAAATTTACTTTCACTTTATTTCCCTTACTTCAGGGGTTGAATCTCCAAAGATATCTTTATCATTGATATCACATAACACATTGCTAATGTTTTCATGTGTGTGTGTGTTTGTGTGCATGTTGCATTATTGTTGCAGGCCTTATATATGTCTTCAATCCATTTAGAGTTTATTTTTGCACATGGAGTTAGAAAGTGATCCAGCTTCATTTTTTTATACATGGTGTCCAGTTTTGCCTACACCATTAGTTAGGCAAAGAGACTTTCTCCATTGTCTAGCCATGGCTCCTTTATATTGAATTAGTGTTGATATATATATGGATTTATTTCCAGACATTTGATTTGTCCTGCTGATCTGCGTGTCTATTTTTACTCCAGTACCATTTTGTACTAATTACTGTTGCTTTATACTACAGTCAGGTGAGGTGATGTCTCCATTTTTTTCCTTTTTCTCAGGATTTCTTTTACTATTTGTGACATTTTATGATTCCACCTAAATTTTCATATTTTTATTCAATTTAGTTAAAGAATATTGTTAGTATTTTAATGGGGATTGCAATAATTCATATAGCACTTTTGGCAGAACAGTCATTTTGACTAATTGATTCTCCCCATCCTTAGACATCCTCAAGTCATGATGTATATCCTTTAATAATATCTTATAGTCTTCATTGCATAGGTCCTTCACATCATTGGTCAGGTAAAATCCTAGGTATTCTAATAGGTATTCTATTTTTTTTTTTTTTTTATATAGAGGCATGTTTTCTTTCTTTCTTTCTTTATTTGTTTGTTTTTGTTTATACATGCACTGGGTACAGTCAGAAGCGCGGGAGGGTGAGAGAATTCACCAGAGCCAGAGCAGAGAACAGAGCAGGCAGAAGGACCGAAGTACACTGCTGAGGGGAGCAGCGGGCGGCAGGAGAGGTCTGCGCGCCATGTGGGACCCTCCTCCGGTGGCCGGGGAGCAGCCGGGGATCGAACCGGCGCCGCAGAGGCCGCAGGCAGCTTTGCAACCCAGCGCTCAACCGCTGCGCCACCGGGGAGGCCCATCTAATAGGTATTCTATTGAGGTAATTGTGAATCAACAATAGAAGGGAACTCCATATTGCAGCTCCCCTCTGGCTCACCGGTTATACTGTCTTAGTATCTCTGTAAATTGAAATTTTTCATTCCTCTTTCTATTGGACCATTGCCCCCTGTTATCCATTCATCTTCAGGGGTTTTTGGTTTTGTTCAGCTGCAATTTAGTTGTATGTGGAGGAGAGCCTGGTATCTTCACTCCACCATCATCTTGCTGAACTCTCCTGGACTCTTGCCTATGCTATCTTAGATAAGAAGCACATAGCACAAGTAACAAAAGAAAAAATGGGTAAGTTGGATTTCATCAAAATGAGAACTTTTGTACATCTAAGCACACAATTATAAGTAAGACAACACATGGAATGGGAGAAAATATTTGTAAATCATTTATGTAATAAGGATCTAGTATCCAGAACATGTAAAGAAACGTTACCATGCAACAACAAAAAGACAAACAACCCAAATTAAAATGGGCAAAGGGCTTGAACAAATATTTCTTCAAATAAGATGTATCAAGGATCAATAAGCACACGAAAAGCTGCTCCTCAACATCACTAGTCTTTAGGGAAATACAAACCAAAGCCACAATACCTACGAGCATATATTTTAAAAATGGAAAATAATTGTTGGCAAGGATATAGAAGATTAGAACTCCTATACATTGTTGGCAAGAATGTAAATTGCTGCTGCTGTGGAAAAGTCTGGCTGTTCCTCAAAAAGTTAAACGAAGAATTATTAAATGCGCCAGGAATTCCACTCCAAAAGCAGTGAAAACAGGAACTCAAACAGATGCTTGTATGCTAGCATTCATTGTGCTGTTATTCACAGTACCTAACAGGTGGAAATCCAACCCAAATGTCCATCAGTGATGCATGGATAAAGAAAATTAATGTATACATACAGTGCAACATTATTCAATCATAAAAACAAATGAAATTCTTACAGTCTGCAGTATGAAGAGAACTTGGAAACATTACACTTAGTGACATAAACTAGACACAAAAGAATAAATATTGTATTACTCACTTAAATGAGGTAACTAGAGTAATCAAATCACAGAAACAGCACGTAGAAATGTGGTTGCCAGGGGCTGGGAGAAAGAGATGGGGAGTTACTGGGAATGGGTACAGAATTCCAGTTTTGCAAAATGAAAAATTTCTAGAGATGGACATTGGTGATGGTTACACAACAATGTAGCTACACAGAACGCCATTGAGCTGTACATCTAAAAATGGTTAAAAAGGTAAACTTTTGTTTTACATATTTTATCACAATAAAAAATGGTATCTTAGAATCTTGAAAAAACTTCCAGTATTTAAACAATGGTCATGTTGTTAGACTGCGTAACCTTAGAAAGCAATAGTTTTTAAGAGTAAAATAAGTATTTGATGTTTGACGTTTTGTAAGCTTATTTAGAAACTAATGAATTTATTGTGCCTGACAATAAAATAAATGGTAAATACCCTCTTTAACTAAAATGAAATGAAGTATCACTACACACTAGAACATAGATGAACATCAGAAACTTTATGTTAAGTGAAAGAACATACATTCAGAAAGCTATATATTATATGATTCCACTTTCATGAAATGGTAAATCCACACAGACAGAAAGCAGATCAGTGGTTACGGGCATGAGTATGCCAGCTGAAATGGGTACAGAGTTTCCTTTTAAGGTCATGTAAATGTTCTGAAAATCGACAGTAGAGATAGTTGAACTTCATGTTATAGTAAATTTTGTTATGCAAATTTTACCTTAATTAAAAAAAAAAGAAGGCAAGAAGTTCCCCGATCTTTTTTTTTATGTTTTGTGTAGGACCTGTTTTAGGTAGGACTCAAGTATTTGTGATTGGTATTTTTTGTATGTGACAAATTTAATTAAACCATCAAGTAAAATTTTATTTGGTACTACTTTTTAAAAGTGTAGTACTTGCCTAAGGAAGTACCGTGTGCTTGATATTAAATATATTTAAAGGGAAATATATTTCTTATAACTTCTGGGTCTGTATTTCACTCTAAACATGATCAAACACACAGTAGAAATAGGAATATGTATACATTTAAAAATCGTTAAACAGGCAAACAAGGACAAAAATTATTAGTAAGCTAGAAAAATACTTTCATTACTAAAGCTGAAAAATCAAACATCCATTATTTAAGAAATTCTTTTTAAAAAATCTACCTGTCCTACAGTCACAGAAATTTGCCTTTTTCCTAGATCACCTATCACTTGAGTTATAATGATTTATTCACAATTTTATACATTTGATAAAATGAATACTCCTCAAATGTATGGGTGCAATCACATAAATCCAGCAATGATTCAAAATGTGTTCAATACATATATCCCAGAGCTGTTGTTTCCCTTACTCTAGGAAGTCTTTCCCCACTTCCCAGATGAAGGACAAGGCTGCTGATATTCTCATAGTCTCACTGGGTCCTCTGTGACATATAAAAACTATGTTAAATAATCTTCTAATTAGTAGGCAAGTATCACTCTCCCTGGAGAATATGTAATTTCCCTAAAGGCACAGACTTTGTTCCCATTTCAGGAATCAGCCCCAGTATCAAGGCGGTGCATAATGAAATGTTTAGTAAAAGGTTAATGAATAAGTATGGCACACTACAGAGGGCTTTATAAAGAACCTTATACTTTTAAAAAAAAAATGTTTTATTTCTGGTTTGTTTGGAGTGTTGGTGGAGAAGGGAGTATACTATTGAGGAAAGTATGAAAGAATGTGAGCTCTCATATTCAAGGGTTTAGTTTTCTCCCAGCTTTTTGTCAAATGTCAATTAGGAGATTTATTATTTTATTCTATATCTTAGAATCTTGAATAAAACTTGAAAATCAGTAGTTTCTCATTTAGGGGCCCTGGGTTTCAAAAACATTAGCTAAAAACTTTGCTTCTTAAATAATTAGAAGGCATTGCTGATTTTAAAAAGCTCTTTCGATAAATGAATGTTAAACCACTGTGGTACCTCCATACCATGAAATGCTACCCCATCACAAAAGGAAATGAACTCTTGATAAATGCAGAGGATCTTAGAGCATCAACTGAGTACAAGAAGCTAATCTACCATAGTGGCTATATTCCACTTATTTAATATTCTCAATACAATAACTTATAGAAATGAAAGACAGATTGATTGTTGCCAAGTGTGGTGGGTGATGGGCATAGGTGTGACTGTAAAAGGGTGGCAAGGGACAGATCTTTGTGGTAATGAAATGGTTTTGGATCTTGACTGCAGTGGTGGTTTCAATAACCTCCACATGTGACAAAACAGCATTCAATTGTCCCCATCCATTGAATCCAAGTCACTTTTCCCATTTTGATAATGCATAATAGCAATAATTTGATTGCTATTAGTGAGATTAATGCTGAGATTTATCCGCAGAGGGAAAATGGGTGAAGGTCACATAGGATTTCTTTGTACTTCCTGTGAATTTTTTTTTTTTTGGTAGCTTCCTGTGAATTTATAATTATTTCAAAATTAAAAATCCAAGAAAATTTAAAAAATGTAAGAAGCAAGGGAGCTAAATTGCACAGAGAAAAGCCTCCAGACCTTGCAAGATTGGATCATTGCTCCAAATACACCAGAGGGCAAGTGACCTATGAAGGAAAAGTGGGTAGAGGAAGATCATGCATGGGGCTCAGCTCCCCGTCAGAAACTTGCACCGGCTCTAACTTCCTTCTAGAATTAGCAGCCACTTCAGCTGTTCTGTACAGAAATGACACTACTTATTACATCTAATTGCAGGGGAAGAAGGAATCCTGGAGAGCCACTCCCCTGAAGTTCCACCTAGAAAGCCTGGAGAACGATGGAGAAAAGAGATTTGTCCATGGTCTGCCTTCTGACCAACAGTCTCCAGGCTCCTGAAGCCAGCCCTTCCCATCATCACACCTTGTGAGGCCTGATAGCAAAACCCTTAAATTCTGTAGATGGGAGCTGAAGATATAATTCTTTCATCCTCAAAACAAAATGCCACCCACTCAAAATTTAAGAATAGGAAATAATTTTTTTCCTCTGAACAGTGGATAAAGTAGGCACTGCTAAAAATTCTACATTCCTCCAAAAATTCTGTACTTCTTTAAACTTTTCATAGGAATTAAAATACTTGGGGGAGGGAGGGATAGCAATATTATTCTACTATCAGCACATGGTGCCAGAGGGAGTAATGTTTCTTCAGTTTTTGGTCTCACAGTCACACAGGGCAGAGTCATTACTGGACGAGAGCCACCATGTATTTGTTTTAAATAACTAATATTGAGATATACTTTATATACCATAAAATTAACCCATGTCAATGGTTTTTACTCTATTCACAGAATTGTGCAGTCATTGCAATATAATCTTAGACCATTTTCATCATTCCCCAAATAAACCTTGTTTATTCTTCTGATAGCTGTCATTCTCCCCGCCCCAAAGCCTCAGCCTTAGGCAACCACTAATCTACTTCCTATAGGCTTTCTCTATAGGCTTTCCCACTATGACTATGTTTTATGAGTAGAATCATATGTTTCTTTCATGAGTAGCTTCTTCTACTGAGCACAATGTTTCTGAGGTTCATTCATGTAGTATGGATCAGAATTTCATCCCTTTTTAAACAGTATTCCTTATTTTTTTTTTCCCCAAGAAGTATTCTATTATATAGCTATTTTGTGAGTTGCTTCCACTTTTTGGCTACTGTGACTATTGCTGCTCTGAATATTCAACTTAAGTTGTTTGTAGTTCAGGTCTCCTTGGAAGTCACCTGGTGTAGAATTGCTGAGGCATATGGAAGGCTATATTTAACCTTGGGAGGAACAGTCAGACTATTTTCCAAAGGGCCTATACTATTTTATCTTCCAATCAGCAATGGATGAGGACTCCATTTTCTACATATTCCTATTACCTCTCCTTACTATGTCTTTTTTGGTAGCCAAAAGTATAAAGCGTTGTCTCATTGTGGGTTTGATTTGCACTTCCTTAATATTCTCATATTAATACCTTTTCATGTCCTTATTATCATTTGTATATCTTTTCAGAAAAGTTTGTTCAAATTCTTTGCCCATTTGAAAAAAATTCATTCTTTTATTACTGGGTGTTTAGAGCTCTTCTATATTCTAGATATAAGTCCCTTGATGAATATACGATTCACAAATATTTTTCTCATCCTGTGGGGATTTTCACTTTCTTTGCAGTTTTTTGAAATGCAAATATTTTAATTTTGAATTGTCTAATTTGTTATATTTTCTTGTACCACTGAGCTTATGATGTCACCTCTAAGAAATAATCACCTATCCCAAGGTCACACATATCTTGTTTTAGTCTAAAGTACAAAGTTATAGCTCTTAAATTTAAGTCTTTGATCCATTTTGAGTTATTTTTTTTTTTTCTATATGGTGTAAAGTTGATGTCTAAATTCATTTTTTTTTTTTTTTTTGCACATGGATGATCGATTGTACCAGAACCATTTTTGAAGACTCCTTTGCCACTGGGTTTTCTTGGTAACATTGTGAAAAATTAATTGATCATAAATGTAAGGATTTATTTGTGGGCTTCTTAATTCTGTTCCATTGATCTATTTTCTATTTTAGGACAGGACTACACTGTCTTGATACTGTGACTTTTTGTTAAGTCTTGAAAGGGGGAGGTGTGGGTCCTCAAACTTTTCTTTTTTAAGATTGTTGGGTTTACTCTGGGTCTTTTACATTTCCCTAAGAATTTTAACTTGTCTGTTTTATTCTGTTTCTCCAACACTAGATCAGTATGTGCCACATAGTAGGTGTTCAATAATGCTACATGAATGAATGAATATCCCGAGTACTGCTTGTGAAAAACCGTCAGATGGACAGCAGACTAAGCTGATTCACAGTCACTCAAGTGGATCCTAATCATCAATTCAGTCTGTTACTGTAAGACTCTACAACTGTGATTTTTAAAAACATTCCATTAATGCTATTAAAATTGGGCCATCTTATTGCCCCCTTCCATCTCCATCTTTTCCAACTGTTTCCAAATTTTTTTTGATCATTTACTAAATGTTAAGCACTGGATATAAAATAGTAAGCCCATAGTGACAAAGTCCTTACATTTATGAAGTTCACATTATAATTTTCTGAAATTAATTGTGCCAAAATAATCAGATCACTAACCCTAGAAGTTCCCTATTCAGTTTACTCCCCAGTGTTGATTATCTTCTCCCAGACCAACTAAAATTAAGAAGTCTAGCAAATGATTTAAATTGAACTGTACCGGGGCCTCCCTGGTGGCGCAGCGGTTGAACGCTGGGTTGCGAAGCTGTCCGCAGCCTCTGCAGCACTGGTTCGATTCCTGGCTGCTGGGCGAGGGTCCCACATGATGCACAGACCTCTCCTGCCGCCCACTGCTCCCCTCAGCAGTGTACTTCTGCCTGTCAGTCTGCCTGTTCTGGTCTCAGCTCTGGCTCTGGTGAATTCTCTCACCCTCCCGCACTTCTGACTGTACCCACTGCTTGTATAAATAAATAAATACATCTTTAAAAAAAAAATAAATAAATTGAACTGTACCAATTTTAGGCACATAAATCAAATTTTCAATACTACAAAAATCAAGTTTTAAGAATTGTAGGTATTTGAAAGATACTTTGTTTGAAGAAAGGAGTTGGCAATGGAGTTGCATCTATAAAATTTGAAAGCTTAGTGCAAATTAGCAGCATTAAACTAATATCTAACAAAGATTCTTCACATAACATTTTTATGTTTCAGCCCAAATCCCAGTGCTGAAACTTTTAAAAGCCTTTTGTATCAATTATTTTGCAGAATATATTGATGTCATTGTGGTTTGTTCTAATGGTTAAAGTTACTGTCAATTTTTAAAAGTCTACTTCAAATATTCCCAGGATATATGAAACTATAGCCTGAGTCATTTTTCTAATGGCTAAAAAGGTTTTAGTCTTTTGTCAGCAAGCACTGTAGTCAAAATATTTCAACCACAGATTCTTATTTCATCAGTGTACAGCCAAGTGCCTGAGTGATAGCTTAGAGGTGGAGACAGGACATTGTGCTAGGTAACAGAAAATTCTGAATTAGCTCCCAGACAGAAGTCTGATTGCCCACCTATTTCATTTGACATCCAGAAAGACTGTTTTGAGAAAAATACTATGGGCTTCTTTTTAAAGTGTCTCAAGACAAATTTTAATAAGCATAGGCTGACCACTAGTTCCCTATCTGGTTTCTCTACAAAATGTGACATTGTTTAACTAAATAATCTGTTTTACTGGAAATCAAAGCATACCCAGTGAAGCAAAATCGGCCTAATTACAGGATAAATTACAAATTCAAAAACATCAGTTCAAGGCAATTCAACAAAGTTGTACTGTGAATTGTCCAGAATTCACAAAGCAAAATGGAGACAATCCCATGTATCCATGTTCCTGAATGACTTTGCAGAAGCAAGATCCCTATGGGAACCTGCATAATCTGACCTGGGAATCACCAAAATAGTGTAATACTCAGAGCTGGTTATAAATGGAGATTCTTCAGGAACTTGCAGTGACATTCCTGGCTCTTCTCTGGTAGTCAAAGCATACCCAGCAGTGGCAGATATAGGGGACTAGGACAGTGTTCTTAAAGTTGTTGGTTTCAGAACACTTACCACTTAAGAATTATTAAGGACGAGTAGGAACTTTTGTTTATGTGGGTTTTATCTATCAATATTTACCATAGTGAAAATGAAAATGAAAATGTTTAGGAATAGTAGTTAATTTATATAAAACTAATGAAAATAACATAGAGCATCTTATCACAAATTACTATATTTCCCCCCCAAAACGGTGAGCAGTGTAGTATCACTTTACATTTCTTGCAATATCCTCAATGTCTAACTCAGTTGAAGATAACTACACACATATCTGCAACTGCACTGAATCTACTGCCATTTGCTATTTGGTTGAAGTAGATGAAGAAAATCCATCATCACTTAGATGTTATAAAAGAGAGGTGTATTTTAATAATCTTTTTGGGTAGGTAATTGTGGTTATTCTCATGTGATACTACATCAATACTCAACCAGTGGCAGTATTTTAAATAGTGGATTGTGAAATCTGAACCTGTATCAGTGAGGTTTTCATACTATTACATTAAAATTAATTGATCTTGGCCTCCCTGGTGGTGCAAGGGGTTAAGCATTGCACTATGAAGCAATCCGCAGCCTCTGTAGCATGAGTTCGATCCCCAGCCAGCCAGGGAGCAACCCACATGGCGCAGCAGACTTCTCCTGCCTCGCCCGTTGCTCCCCTCAGCAGTGTATTTCAGTAGATCTACCTGTTCTGCTCCCCACTCTTGTCTCTGGTGAATTCTCTCACCCTCCCGCACATCTGGCCTGTACCCCAGCTCTTGTATGCTTAAATAAATAAATCTTTAAGAAAATTAATTGATCTTTCTTAAATTTCAGATGATCTTTTCCCATTCTTTGTTTTGTAACATTATTTATTGGTCATTTGAAAGATGTGTTTCTTGCAGTTATACAGATAATCCAAATGTTGACACATTTAATTAAACAGTATTAGACAAATCATGTTTATTCATGTTACCAACAATCTCATAAGAAAAGCATCTAAGGTCTAGGAAGCTGTCAAACTCACAGTGGTGAATATTGTTTTCTAGAGTGCTGAGCTTTAATTTAAAAGCTCACATTTTCATTGGCAACAAACGCTGTCAGTTAAACAACTGACAACTTCTTCCTTGAAGAAGCAGTAGTCTGGTTTAGTTCATTTTTCAAAAAATGTCTGCCAAATACCTGATTCTGAATCACCGTATTTGCTATCTGTGCTCTTCCAGACAAAAACAACATTTAAAGGGAAACGGTGATGGTTAGTTCAGCTTTAAATTCAATCAATAGGATGTGTGCTCTACCTATAGATGAGGGTTGTACTGGTTATAACACAAATGTCTCAGGCATACTTCTCATCACATACAATTATTAAAAAAGCTGTGTACTCAAAGATGGACATTCAATAAAATTAATGATATTTACTGCCTTGATATTTTTTAGTGAACTGACTTTTGTTTTTGTTGTGTTTTTTTTTTTTTCCACTCAACTGTGAGTGCATGGTGGTTAAAAAAAAAAATCAGTGAAACTGCTGCCACCGTGTAGATTTATGGTAAGACATTAGGTTGTTTTTCCGATTAATGCATTTGCACCATCAGAGAAATGTCAATGCAGTGAAAAAGGTAAAAAAAGAATGTCTTAGCATTATTACAAAAATAGTTTTGACTTTATACATCCCTTGCAAAGGTCTCAGAGACCAGACCTCAAGAACACCTGGACAATGAGAAGAGGCGCTGTAAGGGGCAGGGGAAATGTTATGCTTTGTCCCTACTAAGTGCCAGTGCAACATAAAGGACAAAAGATATTCCACATTTGTTATCTCATGTACTACTATAAATGAAACCTCTTAAACAAGTATTTGTCTCTTCATTATCAGGACAAAGAAACAGGTTTATAGGAAGTGATAGAACACAGAGTTGGAACAAAATCTGACTCCAAAACACAGTTTTCCTCTTCCTGGTAGTATAAGGTATCTTCTTTCTTACTGGCTTTGACATAGGACCCTTCTAGCAGATAAGCCATGTCTCCATTCTATCTTCTAACATGTTTCCATATCTCTGCAGGCCTTTGCCTCTGTCAGTGAAATTTTTCTACAGCCAGTTATTGAAATCAAAGGTGACAAAAATATGGCAGATATCTGCAGAGATCTGCAGATCTCTTTTCCTCAGTAATCTACCATTGGGCCCTAGTAATCTTTAATTGTTGGTCAGCATCAACTCGGACTCAGAAACGTCTCAACTTAGGTACAGTCACCTTATCACAAGCCTAGTTAGGCCTCACTGTTTTGAGATAGAGAATCAAATTTCGGAAGAGTGCAATCTTTGCCTTGCCTAATTAAAAATATGGATTTTTATCTTGTTCATTTTTTTCTGCTTCTCAGAATCTTAAATGAAAATTTTGATGGAAAAATCATTTTTGTAATTGTTCTTCACTATATGCTTTTCAATTATTCATAGTATTTCTACCCTTGTTACTTTAGCTATCATTATGGTGACATTTTCCCCATAGACAAGAATTCTCATTATTTACTTTTATACTAGACACTCTTAATCAGTTCTTATTGAAATTGTTCTCCTGCCAATTTAACAAGACAAAGGGCAAATTAAATAGAACATATTGAAACTCAGCGTTCCCAACTAGGGCCTCACACATAAAGGACAGATCCACATTTCCCCCAGCTTGGAAAATTTGTTCTTCTGAAATTGAAACTACCACTGTATCCCAAAAACCAAACCAAGCCTAAGTAAGCTTTACTAAAATCTCTTCACAATAGAACACACAAAATGGAATTACAGATGAGAATTTAGCCTAATCACCAAAAGTTATGGGTTTACTTCAGTATTTTACTCAAGCTTAGTGCTTCATTTTAATAAATCACATTCCTGTTTGTTTTTTACCTTATTTTTTTTTTTTTTAAAGATTTTTTTATTTATTTATTTTTACAAGCACTGGGTACAGTCAGAAGCGCGGGAGGGTGAGAGAATTCACCAGAGCCAGAGCGGGGAGCAGAGCAGGAAGAAGGACCGAAGCACACTGCTGAGGGGAGCAGCAGGCGGCAGGAGAGGTCTGCGCGCCATGTGGGACCCTCCTCCGGTGGCCGGGGAGCGGCCGGGGATCGAACCGGCGCTTCAGAGACTGCGGGCAGCTTCGCAACCCAGCGCTCAACCGCTGCGCCACCAGGGAGGCCCTGTTTTTTACCTTATTTTTATTTTTATTTTATTATTTATTTTTTTTTAAAAAAGATTTATTTATTTATGCATACAAGAGCTGGGGTATAGGCCAGAGATGCGGGAGGTGAGAGGACTCACCAGAGACAGAGTAGGGAACAGAACAGGCAGACAGACTCAAATACACTGCTGAGGGGAGCAGTGGGTGAGTCAGGAGAGGTCTGCTGCGCCATGTGGGTTGTTCCCTGGCCGCTGGGGATCGAACTCATGCCGCAGAGGCTGTGGATTGCTTCATAGTGCGGTGCTTAACCCCTTGTGCCACCAGGGAGGTCCTTATTTTTTATTTTTTTAAAGAGTGACTCGAGCATTTATTTTATTTTTTAAAGATTTATTTATTTATGCATACAAGAGCTGGGGTGTAGGCCAGAGGTGCAGAGGTGGGGAGGGGGATGAGAGGATTCACCAGAGACAGAGTGGGGAGCAGAACAGGCAGACTGACTGAAATACACTGTTGAGGGGAGCAGTGAGCGAGACAGGAGAGGTCTGCTGTGCCACAAGGGGTCAGCTCTCTGGCCAGGGATTGAGCTCAGAACTCATGCTGCATTAGCTGTAGATAGCTTCATACTGCTGACGCTTACCCCCTTATGCCACCAGGGAGGTCCCTTGACCTTATTTTTAAAGCTATTGGATGACTTTCATTTCTCTAAGTTTTCAAAGTTGTTACCCATTTCTATACTTTTGAAAGGTTAAAATACTTTCAGCTTAAAATACCCTATTTGTTATCCGCTGAAAGTGTTAACTCTTTCATCAAGTTAAATCTCCTCTGTGAAACTTCCTTTTTTTTTGTCCAGGGAGAATTATTTCTCCCACACTGTTCTTTAGTCTAGGTGTGGTGAGTGGCTTTATTCCCAGAACTCCTGCACTGCTCATATTCAGTGTCCTTTACTTACCGTTTAGCATATTGTAATATACTCACCTTTTTCTTCCACCAAAATGTTTGTGGAGTTCTTGAGGGCAAGGATCATGTTTTATTCATTTATATGGTTTCATCACTCAGTACTTCCTGATTTAATCCAAATGCTTATAAATATTGAATGAATTTTGAGTTTTCCTACTTTCTACTTTTAATTTACTTCCTATTTCTTTTCAATTTTTGATGCTCTTCTTATTCTACTTACACTAATGATTTCAAACTAGAGACAATTGACTATTTAAGACTCAAAAAACCACTCTGGTTTTAAAACCTGTGTGATGGAGCTATTGACACAAACCTATTTTAAAAGCTTGTAGTAAAAACAAATTCCTTCCTCTCTTCAAAGGAAATGTTAAATAAATAAAAATGGAGGTTCACTTTGGATAATCATTTGGCAATTTTATATGCAGTCAGACATATATCTACCTTATGATCAAGCAATGCTAATCCTAGGTATTTACCCAAAAGAAATGAAAACATTTACCATAATAAAGATTTAGTTATTTATGCATACAAGAACTGGGGTATAGGACAGAAGTACGGAGGGGTGAGAGGATTCACCAGAGACAGAGTGGGGAACAGAACAGGTAGACTAACTGAAATACACTGCTGAGGGGAGCAGTGGGCGGGACAGGAGAGGTCTGCTGCACCATGTGGGTTGCCCCATGGCTGGCCTGGGATGGAACTTGTGCTGCGGAGGCTGTGGATAGCTTCACAGTGCTGTGCTTAACCCCCTGCTCCACTAGGGAGGCCCCATTTACCATAATATTTATGGCAGCTTTATTCATAGTAGTGCAAACTTGTAAGTAAACCAAATTTCCATCAAGAGGAAAATGTATAAATTGTGGTATGACAAGCAGTGAAATTGAAACAGTAATCAAAACCCTTCCCAAAAACAAAAGCCCAGGACCAGATGGATTTACAAATGAATTCTACCAAACGCCATAAATGAACTTGTGCCTATCCTGCACAAACTCTTTCAAAAAATTGAGAAGGAAGGGGCAATACCAAACACATTTTATGAAGCCAACATTACACTAATACTAAAACCGAACAAGGACATCACAAAAAAAGAAAACTACAGGTCAACATCTGTAATGAACACCGATGCAAAAATCCTCAACAAAATACCAGCCAACAGAATCCAACAATGCATCAATAAGATAATTCACTGTGACCAAGTAGGATTTATGCCAGGGACACAAGGATGGTTCAACATCCAAAAATCAATAAATGTAATCCAACACACCAACAAAAAGAAAAATAAAACCATATGATCATATCAATTGATGCTGAGAAAGCATTCAACAAAAGTCACCATCCATTCATGACAAAGGCCCTCAAAATTCTCGGGATAGGAGGAATATACCTCAACATAATAAAGGCCATATATGACAATCATATAGCCAATATCATCCTCAATGGTGAAAAGCTGAAAGCCTTTCCCTTAAGGTCTGAAACAAGACAAGGATGTCCACTTGCATCACTGCTTTTCAATATAAATTGTGTTATGAAAGGAAGAGTAATATGAGATAGCTGAAATGGAGTAATTATTAATTATAAACTACTGAAAATTAAGCAAGAGGAAGAATACAGAAGTCAAAGGGGTTAAGGCTTACAGTAATGAGGAGTCAATATATTAAAGAAAATTGTGAAGACTGAATCTTAATTACACCTTGAGTTCTTGAGGAAGGTAGTTAAGATCTATGGTCACAGAATGCAAAATTCAAAATTTTGGAGCTCATATATATTTTATAAATTATAAGTTCCAGATATATCAGGAGAATGAGCAAAGAAATGACTACTTTCACTACACATGTACCAATATGTAAGTAAGATACATTTTAAAATTCTATGTGTATCAATTGTGACGCTATATTTACTGCACACCGTCCTCTTCTGCCTCTTATTTCTGGGTTCAGTCTTGATTTACTGAATAATAATACTCCATCCTATGAATATCCCCTTGTATTGATTCTTTATTTATATTTCTAATTTGTTTTGCTTCCACTCAGTATCGTTATGTATATCCTTGCTAACATATGGGATCTTCCGAAAGATACATATTTAGGAGCGGCACGGTGGGAGTTGGTATTTCAAATGTTCAGTTTTATTAGATTTTGGCAAATTGCTTTCTAAAGTGGTGTAACAAGCACTGCCAGCAGATATGTAATATTTGGGTGCGTAGGGGAGAAAACTTTTGAAAGACGTACAAACATGATGATGTGCTTGCTTTATAACAGTCTGCCTCGAGTGCCCAATAACCATCTCCGAAATCAATCACTTACAACTAGTGTCACTCTCCGATGTCAGAGGAAAACCCTCCGGCTACTACGCGGGGCCGCGCACACGCCCGCGCTTCCGGCCGAGGGTCTGACGCAGGGACTGACGTAGCACGCTCGGGACGACGGCGCCCTGGTTGACGTTTTTGAAGGCCCCTTTGTTGGCTGTCTGGCAAGATCCAAAAGACATCGTGGGCTAGTCGATGGATACTTTTTCTCAAAGACGGAAAATATCTTCACGGCCTCTCCTTGTTCTGCGGTGTAACCCTTTAGCCCCCCCAAAACAATCGCTTTCGACTGGCGTTTCTTTCAGGCAGTACGATGGGCAGCCCTCAGGGCCTTCTAAGACGCCCGCCACGGCCCCACCTCCTTCCTTTCGGCCGGAACCGCCATCTTCCAGGTAGGGCCTTCGCGTGGCTCCCGGGTGCCCTGGGCCCAAAAACTTGAATTCCAATCCTGTGGCCACTGAGCCAGTGCACTGGGGCCCCAGAGAGTCTGTGTAACTTGCGTGAGGCCCGTTGGCCTGCACGGTGAGGTTAAGTGCATCCTGGGCCTGGAGCAGCGTGCGCCGCCCTGGGCCTGTGCTGGGGGCTGGGGCTGAGCCCTGGATTGCGGTGTCGCGGCCCCACAGGGGAGTAGCCTCGAGAAAAACTCGCCCGAGCCACTGGAGTGGGGCGGTCATGGTCAATCTGGAAAGGAATTTGGTTTTTCTATAGTTTCACAGCCTCATACCCGGTGTCCTGGTCCCTCGGAATAATTCAATGAGGCCGCATGGCCTGTTGACTTTCCAACTCTCCTCAATGTGGCTTTTTACCGCTAATGTAAAACTTCAGTTGATGCCGGCTCGGGACTTTGGGGTAGTAGGGAGTGTCTGAAGACCAGACGACATATTTTACCTCCAGATAAATATACGTGTGTATGTGTGGCAGAGAGAAAAAGCACGCGCAGGTCGTGGTGGGAGAATTTGGTCAATGAATCCGGATCTTAATTTTATTGCACCCTATAGTGGATCCCGTTTTTGATACTATTGTAAATTAAAAGCACGGTAGTTACCCTAATCCACGCGGTTTTACTTTCTATGGGTCCATTTATCCAGAGTCAGCCGTACTGGGGAAATAGTACTTGCAATATTTTGAGAGATTGCGATCCCTTTAAATTACGGTGTATTGTTGTAATTGTTCTCTGCTGTCATTTTGCATAAACTATCATATATGGGGGGGGAACTATAGTGTTGGTATGAGCGGTTTCAGGCATCCATTGTTGCGGGGATGGGTCATGGACATAGCTCCCACACCTAAGGGGAGAGGGAACTACTGTGTTTTTAAAAACTCCATTAAACTGTATGTGTATGGAGTCATATTGTAATGCCGATGTCTTACTAGGAAAATGGGTCTAGTGAGAGAAGCAGGGCTCTGGAATCCGAAATTACTCACATTTCCGTTACTAATTCTGTCACTTGACCTGCAGAGACTGTCCTTGTAGAGATTTGGGAGATTAAAATAGGTTACCTGACACTTAATGGTTTATTTTATTATATTTTATTTTTAAGTAAAGGGTGCATTTGTTGTAACAGTCATTCTGCGTTGGTTAGATGAAACACTTGTGTTAGATGAAAAAGGTATTTCTGATGGAGTTACTGTAGGGACTGTTAATTAGAGACCGAGTTAACTTACTTAGGACACTGTCTGCAAAGTAAGACTGATGAAAGTGCATTTTGTTTTGTGGTAGAATTGCCCGCCATGGTTATTGAATGACTTGAACGCATCAAAACCATTGTTTTGCCCTTTTGGCGAAAAGGGTGAAATCTCAATTCTGAATGTCTTAGGTGAATACTTAGGTAATAATTACCATTTCTACTTACTTTCAAACACTTGTGGTAATTGCCCAGTGCTTTGTTTGCATTGCCTCAGTTTATCCGTGTAGGTATTAGCCCCATTTTTACCGTTGAGGATGGAGGTTTAAATGTAGTCTTCTATCTAGTAAAGAGCAAAACCAAATTACAGATTTTGACAAAAAAATATTTATAAAGCCTGCCTTTCCCTTTCTTCCATACATGCATTTCTATGTAAACAATGGTGTAAATGGAAATAAGTGAATTTGGACATTTTTGACATTTAAATTTTGGTGCATAGGAGTTTTAATGTAAATTTGGGCAGTTTTAGCTAAGATCTTGTTAAAATGGTGTTTTTTTAAAATATACCCTTTATAAGAAAATGATTGGTATACCTACTTTTTATTACATTGTTCCCTAATACTGACATTGCTGCTGGAAGGCAAGTATTTGAATTTGTAAGATTTGGTTATAGTGGTAAATAAAAATTTTGCAGTTGTAGTTGACTGTCTAATACTTTCTATTTTCAGTAAGTCGCCAAAATGACTAACACAAAGGGAAAGAGAAGAGGGACCCGCTATATGTTCTCTAGGCCTTTTAGAAAACATGGTAAGTACATTTACCTTTCTTGAGAATAAGCATGGTATCATGTTTTATTAATACATATATTGTATTTCTTATAATGTGGTCTTAATAAATGTCATTAATTAGGTGTCTAGCTAAACTTGTTATAAATAAAAATCATAACTGTTACATAGTGGTTTCTTAAATTACAAGCTACATAGATTTAAAAAATACATTGTCAAAGGTGGCATTTTGTAATCTGGTAATGTTACACATTTTACTTTAGACTTTAATCTGGTTACTGACTATGCTATTTTCCCTCCCACTAGGAGTTGTTCCTTTGGCCACATACATGCGAATCTATAAGAAAGGTGATATTGTTGACATCAAGGTAAATGACAAAATTGGGGAAATAACGTGTAGAATAACACAAGTTGGAGAGGTTAACTTTGATGTGATGGCTTGAAAGCTTTTTTTGTGACCAATATTTAAATGTGTCCTGGCACTCCAGAGCTTAATGATGATTGTCTTTTTGATTGCATGTAAAGCAACGTGAAAAATACATTTCACCGGCTCTGAAAGCTTTGAGGTGCCCTTTAAAAGAAAAAAATCCTAGAATATCTTTGTAAGTCAGCTTTAAAAGGAAGGGAAGTTACTGGCATAACATTTACCTCTTCTTTTAACAGGGGATGGGCACTGTTCAAAAAGGAATGCCCCACAAATGTTACCATGGCAAAACCGGAAGAGTCTATAATGTTACCCAGCATGCAGTTGGCATTGTTGTAAACAAGCAAGTAAAGTAAGTAATGTTACAGTTTTTTTATGGCTAGTTAGTATTCCCTTGCACCCCCTTTTCACTTTGCCAGTTGGACTTATGTCTTTATTGGCCATTCAAGTGGGGCAAAGGAGTATCCTTTTAAAACTCAAGCAAACTGGGTGTTTGTCTTGTAGCCTGTCAGAGGAAACATGTTGAGGTAGGCTTACAGGACAGTTTATGGGATTTAGTATTCAGTAATTCTAGTTTTCAGAGTACAAAATATTTAATAAGTCAAGATTTTAGTAGTGTTTTGGTTACCTTGCTTGGTATTTCAGGATAGGTTACCTAATCAAAAGAGTTTAAAAGTGGGGATTTTTGCCTTAAGACCCCTTCCAGTAAGATTAATAAACGATTGCCAATTAACCATCACCTTGTTGCTCCATCTATGGATAAAGGTTCATGGTTTATTTAATAAATGAAACTGCTAAAATTCTGTATTTCAGTTATCTTTTTTAATGTAGATATAATTGATACAGCCTATTAGTTTTAGGTACACAGCATAGTGACTAGATAATTTGTATATATTACCTAATGATCAACACAATAAGTCCGGTTAACTTTTTTACCCATACAGTTAGAATACTTTTCTTTTAGTGATAAGGATTTTTAAGATCTATTCCCTTAGCATTTGAAATATGCGATGGGTGTTATATGTTTGCCTCGTGGTAGAAGTAGTTGCCAGTGTTTCCCTTCAGTCACCCTTCTGTACTAGAATTTTGTGTCTTTTGACTTTAAGCCACTTCACTTGTTCTTCATCTATCCCTTCCACCAGTCTGTTCTGGATTATGAAGCATTTATAAGAATTTCTTTTCTCTCCAGGGGCAAGATTCTTGCAAAGAGAATTAATGTTCGTATTGAGCACATTAAGCACTCTAAGAGCCGAGATAGCTTCCTGAAACGTGTGAAAGAAAATGATCAGAAGAAAAAGGAAGCCAAAGAGAAGGGTACTTGGGTTCAGCTGAAGCGCCAGGTGAGTTCTTGACTATTTCTTGATTTTTAAGTTTTTGGTAGTGATAATTTTCTTTTAAGTTAAAGAATGGCTTATTTCATTGGTTCTGATAGCACTATGGAATTGAAGTGTAATGTTTATAGTAGCGTACTTGAAGTGTGATAATTATTCCCTTTTTTTCCTCCTCAACAGCCTGCTCCACCTAGAGAAGCACACTTTGTGAGAACCAATGGGAAGGAGCCTGAGCTGCTAGAACCTATTCCCTATGAATTCATGGCATGATAGGTGTGCAAAAAGAAATAAAAGAGCTCTGGACTACAAAAATGTTTCACCTAATTGAGTAGAAGTGTGGTGTCCCCTCTCTAAAAAATATTTAAAGCAAACTTTTTAATTATATCGTAATTCATTGGATGGTGTCTTTATTAAAATTTAGTGGGTTTTTTGTTTGTTTTTTTTTTTTTTTTTAAAGATTTATCCATTTATGCATACAAGAGCTGGGGTACAGACCAGAGGTGTAGGGGTGAGATGATTCACCAGAGACAGAGTGGGTAAAAGAACAGGCAGATTGACCGAAGTACACTGCTGAGGGGAGCATTCAAGAACTGGAATGTAGTACAAGGTGCAAGGGGTGAGAGACAAGAGTGGGGAGCAGAACAGGTAGATCTACTGAAATACACTGCTGAGGGGAGCAGTGGGTGAGTCAGGAGAGGTCTGCTGCACCATGTGGGTTTGCTCCCTGGCTGGTCGGGGGATCGAACTTAGGCATCAGAGGCTGCGGACAGCTTCATAGGTTGCATCTTAACACATTGCGCCACCAGGGAAGCCCTAAAATTTAGTGTTCGCTGAAAGATGATTGTTTATTGTACAACAAGGAATATACTTGGTTAGAAAACGGCCATGTGGGTTAACTCATGATGAGTATAGCTTAATAGTGCCAAGACTTAACCCTTTGCACCATCAGGGAGACCCCATCAGTGGGAACATTTTTTTTTTTTTAAGATTTATTTATTTATACAAGCACTGGGTACAGTCAGAAGCGTGGGAGGGTGAGAGAATTCACCAGAGCCAGAGTGGGGAGCAGAGCAGGCAGAAGGACTGAAGTACACTGCTGAGGGGAGCAGCGGGCAGCAGGAGAGGTCTGCGCGCCATGCGGGACCCTTGAACCGGCGCTGCAGAGGCTTCTGGCAGCCTCGCAACCCAACGCTCAACCGCTGCGCCACCGGGGAGGCCCATCAGTGGGAACATTTTAAAGCTGCTTTGTGATGTTGGAATATATTTGGTTATTTGTTACTAACTCAGTATTTTACTTGGATATGACAAAAAACTCAAATTCAGCCAGTTAATGGCCTTCATTAGTTTCTCTAATTGTTATGTTCATAGGTCTGCTTTGGAATCCAGCAAACCTGGTTTTGAATCTGTTAGGCAAGTTGCTTGGTTGTGAATAGTAAGCAGCACTTATAGCTGTTGTTGAGATGAAAAGTACAGGAGTGAGAATGCAGCCCAAGATACTGGATTGTGATTCTGCCTTTTTTTAAAGATTGATTTATGCATTCAAGAACTAGGGTGTAGTAAAAGGTGCAAGGGGTGAGAGAATTCACCAGAGACAAGAGTGGGGAGCAGAACAGGTAGATCTACTGAAATAAACTGCTGAGGAGAGCAGTTGGCAAGACAGGAGCGCTCTGTCGTGCCATGTGAGTTAGCTACCTGGCCAGCCTGGGATTGGATTGAACTTGTGCTGCAGTGGCTGGCTTGACAGTGCTGAGACTTTAACCCCTGCACCATTAGGGAACCCCTGTGATTCTTTTTCAAACAGCAAAGTGTGAGGAACACTGGCCATCTTACAAAACCCCTAATGGCACAGGCACAGGGAAGATGCTCTCCTGTATGCTTTGCTGTCCTGGCAAAAATAGAATTTATAGAAATCGTTTGAATTGGGAAAGAAATGCAATGGTATACGTATTACAATCTATCAGGGTTGTACAGTCTACAATGAGGTGATCATTCACCTCCTTAGTGAAGATGCAGTTAGATTTTTTCTTCTTGAGAAGAGGTTAAGAGAACTAGTTCTTGGGAGATGAATAAGGCATAGTTTGAAGATCTTGAGAGCAGACACCATACCCTGTTCTTGTATGCTCCTAGCATTGACCCTATAGCACATAATAGGAGTGACCTTAACAGTCAGGTTTCAAAGCCTGCAGATAAATTCCTTAGGGTGGCATTCATTGTCCTCCAGTCTAGTCACTCACATTGTTATATACCATGTCTTTTTAAGGCTATTGAATCCTTGCCATATACTCTCTAGCTTCATGAGTATGTTCATACTGTATCCTCAGCTTGATAGGCCTACCTTTACACCTATCATACTGCACATGCTCAGTGACCATATAAGGTCATTTCTCCCAGAAGTTCTCTCTGATGACACCACTCCCCACATACCCTAACCACCACCACCAGTCAGATTTAATTCTGCCCATTGCAGCTCTGTACCCTTGACCTACTTTGTCACTCCATTTTCATGACCAGAGTGTTCATGCTCTCCACATTGGGGGTGGGGAGGAATCCTAGCATTTTAAATCATAGGGGTCAGTATATCCACTGATCACCTTGACTTTGGATAAGTTTTAGTGTTTCTCTAATCCTAAATTTGAAGTGTCTTACCCATTTCACAGTATTAAAGACTAAGATTTGGGGGGGTAAAGTTAATTTACAAAAGATTTAATTCGGGGGTAGGCAGGAATATCTTCGTTGTCCTCTCAGCAACATAATAGAAATTTGTTCTTTGTATTTGCACGTAGAGATTTACAGAGAACAGATTTTTCAATAATTTTGATGGTTGAATGGAAATAAAGTAGGGACCTGATAAGAGGACAGAGGCATAATTCCTTTTCTGGGGAGTACCTAAAGGCAAGAGTCTCTGCATCTCCAATAAGCTCAAAATTCAAAGATTTACAATAGGAAAGGTAGTTGATACAGGGTGGTGGGAATAACATTCTTGATCTAGAAGAGGACTCGACCAAATTTTGTCAGGGCTAGAAATCAAGCTTATTTGGTTGGTAAAGAATAAGATAACTTCCCAAACCTGGAATTGCATATTATTAAATTCTGTCCTTCATACTTGTTCTAAACACCCACGTATTTGTGTATCTGTATCTGTGCCTACGCATTCCTATTATCTGTAAAAACCACTTCAGCATGACTATTCTATTGGTTGCACCACAATTTTACATAACCCTGGACACAAAAGAAATCCAAAAATGAAATGGAACACAAGCAGCCACAATTTTGGCAGGCTATTTATAATTTTATAATTCAG